ATATTAGTGATAATGATCTCTTGGAAACAAAAGAAAGCAACCTTTATCGCTAAATATAACCCTAAGGGGTGATTATTTGAATTATGTTTGATGTTTAATTAATGTTATTTCGTTTTAATTTTTATATTTCATATAGTCATTGTCCTCTGTTATGACGTAACGTTATTGTAACAGCATAGTAACCATTAAAATGGCCTGGCGGTTCGTTTGATAACGATGAAAGTACTAGCCAAAATTTTAATTTTTAGTGTTTTTCCTCTAATATTTGAATTTTACTTATATGTTTAACTGAGAGTTAGATCGTTTTATATATTTTATCTTATATATATATATATATATATATATATATATATATATATATATATATATATATTTATATATATAAAGGTTAAAAATGCCTAAAGAAAGTACTATTGTTTAATTGTGTACATGTTTCGCCTGAGCTTGTCAAGACATACAATAACAATGACGTTTGAAATGTTTATTATGGGTTTAAATTTGTCAATAAAATATTGTTCCTTCAATCTCATTTTCATGGAATCTGAATACGGCATCTTAAAGAAAGGGTATATTTTGAACTTGCCTTTACCGCAGATATCAAGGTGCTCACTTAAAGGGATCTTCCTTAAATTTGGTTCCCTGATATGTTGTCTATGAACCGTTACCTTGTTTTGTAACTTGTTCGTGCAACTGATGTACAGTTCGACACAGCCACTACATTTTATGACATATAATACATGAGTTACTTTACAGTTCATACTTTCACTGACAAAACATTTCAAAGTACTTTTCGTCCATTTTGGGACTATTCATAAACCATGTCATTGTATAAAGATGGAAAGGTGGACAGTATTGTATAATTATCCTGTCCTGGAAAAACAATCCTGTTATTCCTTCATGAAAATAATATTTATCCTGTCCTGTAAAAACAATCCTTTTATTCCTTCATGAAAATATTTTTTTTTTGTATAAAATATTACTATTGACTTGATATGACGTCACGCAGCCTACAAGATAACAAGACAACGTGGTCAAGTTAATACAATCTTAAAATGTCAGGGAATGAATAACATATGACGATATGGCGTCACTGAGAAAATTATTCAATCATGAGTGATTTAACGTCATTTAGCAGAAATGTGTGGTGCGATCCTCCTGCACTTAATATCGGGATGCAGTTTTCGACTGGATTCCTACCTTCTATGACGTTTTCGCAATTGTTTCCATAGTAACCAATCTGACACGAGCAGCCTTCATCTGTACAACTCTTTTTCTAAAACCAAAGACAAAAAATAAATATTTTCGATACACGAGTTAGATCTGTACAACTCTTTTCATTTTCATTACATGGCCATTACCTAAAAACATGTAATGATTACATTCCATTACCATTACCCTAGCGGGGGGTTGGTTAGCCGAATGGTTAGCACGTGCGTGCTGTATCATAAGGCCTGTCAGAGTCAACTGGCGTGGTTTCGAATCCCCGGTTGTGCGTTACCTACACCGCACCAGGCAGATTATCAATGGATTAGAAACCTAAGGGTCCTGGTTTCAATCCTTGTGTTAGCATTGTTCACACATCTTTGCATCCAGGCAACTTTGTTTTTCTTCTGTTTAAATGCACAGTAGAAAACATCCAAGATATCGAATTATGGATTTAAAATTGTATCATAAGTTAGTCCCGAAATTACCTATTTTGTGTTGCGTGTTCAATGTATCAAATAATATGGTAGAACGACGTTTAGGTCACAGATATTAACATAAAGGGTCAAAAAGGTTAACGCCATAGAGTTAATCTCATTCCACAAAACAAGGTAGGCCACTTCACTAGGAATCTAGGTATAAATACCCACTCCACTTTAGTGGTCTAAAGTGTCGCGCTTTGATCTCAAGCTGGCCGGCCACTTCTGGCTTGTTGTGGTATAGATAGATCCCCGGTGTGGGCACCTTCTCAACTTCAAGGGTTTACTTGGGGCTATAGAACCCTGCGTGTGCGCTAAGATAATAAAAAATGAAAAAAATGACAACTTGTCTGCGAGGTCACCCTCAGTGAAAGCGGACCTTAAACACCACGAACAACAATTCTAGTCCATAAAATACCCACCCCTCAAAAATGTTCTGAAGTGTCATAATAACTACTTCCATTTTACTCTAAAAGAGGGTAGGTCCACGTCACATCCCCCACTTAACTCCCAAATTCCCCAACAGATTACTGACCTAAGTTAAGGCATAGAGGTTGAATTGATTCTAACCGGTGCTAATAAGAGCTAATTCGTTAGAAGCAGAACCGCCAAAGAAGGTAGGCTAACGTAAGCAGGAACGAAGGTATGAATATCCACTTAAACCCACAGATTACTAACCTTAGCGAAGCATTTACATTGATTGGGCATATCTCTCTCAGGACAAGTCTCTCCATCCTCATACATGGTACACATCCTACCATTACATAACTTCACTTTTCTACATGACTTCTCGTCAATACAGGCTTTCAAACATTCACGTCCTGTTGGAACTATGAAAGATGCGCCGACGATCCGGCAGTTACGACATGTATTTTTCTTCACAACAGTTTCTTTAAATTGTGTGTAGCGAAACGTCGCATTGTTGCCGATACATTTTGCTACATTAATATAAGCTACACAACAAAGAAGCACCAAATCTAGTGAAGCCATAGTGTTTATCATCTAGCTATAGACAGTTGTGTGATAGTACGAATCCAATGGGACAAATCTTCTTTTTTTTCATAACAGATTTAAGTCGCCGTGAAATCGATCGATAAAAAAGTGAGAGTAGGAAGGACACAACAGAACTAAAATGGGGATTTAACGTCTCCCGTTTCTATACAAAATCGATCACAGAACATAAGACCTTTATAAAAAAAATTAGGGGAGTGGGGTATTCAAAATGCATTATGAGCAAAAATGCCCCAAAATCACGAGGAATTAGTGTACATCACGTTCTTGTGTGGATTCAGAATCAGGATGTTGTTGCCCCTGTCATCATTGGGGAAATCAAAATATCCAAGATGGCAACCACGAACCATTTCCTGGTTATGTCATGCTGAATTTTCATATCTACGGATAGGTGGACTATTGCCGTCTTTCTGTTCTCTAACACAGTATCTGTAAACAATTATTCTTTATAACAAAACAAAACCGACCTCACGTGATATCCAACATTTGCATATCCAAGTTAGTGCTCTACATAAAGTTCTATGTAGAAAACGTGAAGGACAAATGAGATGCGACATAGCTCAAATGTAAAATTTTAGTAGAGCATTTAATATTGGCAGCGATACCCTCCCATAGTCAAGCAGTGCGATAATACTGGGCTGTATAGACATGATGTTATAAATAGCCATCGCACGTGAAATTTTTTAACACATCTACTGTTAAAGCAGTAAAAAATCTATTGTTAACGATTCAGAATATCAATAATATTTCTGATTCGTTGTTACAGCAGCTTTATAAAATTGATTTTTAATTTTCTTTATTATAAACTGTACCGTTAGGAGCGGCATCTTTTGGTTCAGTAAAATTAATATCTCCGAAACTCCTTCATTAGGCAAGAATAGCATACTAGTAGTATCTTCCTTTTGTTTTTACAAGGTTCTCAAAACAATTGCTGAGTTGCCTAACGTGCGTGTTTCAAAATTAGATTTATCGATCTAGCTTTCTGTAACGTTTCGTAGAAAATAGTCTTGATTATTCCGCCCTGTCAATCAGCCACAGAACGGTCGGTAGACTGGTTAAGATGGACTAATTTCATATCAAGGGTAGATAATCTATTTTGCACTAAAAAATGCCCGGATTTAATGGCGGCGGCTTGACAACTTTTTCAGTCTAATTTTTTAATTATTTGAAAGGCCTATAACTTGTTAAATAGAACACGACCGTTTATTTAGAGACTACAAATATGAGGTGGTAACTTAACACATGTTATATATATTGTGGTATAATTGTCGAAATATTTGGAGATATTAGGAGATATTTATTTATGGTGTGGCACCCTACGCCTTGATATTTCGTTTTGTCCCCACAAATCTGTATGCCGTGAATCACCACAAGGTGGTAAATAGCTGAATAAAATCTGATTAGTGAAGATTAATTCATTGTCGCCTTTCAGCGTCTCTGATCCTCATATGATAGTCGCATGAAAGCTACAATATTGTGAACTTTGAGTCTCTAGACGGAATATCAGTTTACAAATGGTTCAGTTCCATATTGTAAAAGATTTTATGAATTGAAAATTTGTCAACATTAGCATCAAAGGCAATCTGATTAAAACACAGATCCTATTTCGTTTTGTTTTTTATAGTGTAGGCCATCGAAAGTATTAAAAAAAACGAAACGAAATATTATAGATCTGTATTTTAATAAGATTGGCACCAACTACAGACAATATAAAGTTAAAACCAAACTGTTGATATTTCAATTAATTGTTAAATATACAACTTGAGTAAAGCTCGGTTTTAATTTTCTTTTTGACATCAGACTATAGTGTAGATCAATTCACTGTGGCATTTAGGCAAAACCTGACAACTACTAAGAAAGGGAGAGCCACTGTGGCTCAGTGGGTAAGTTTGGCCAAGAAGGGCCTGGCAAGGGACAACGTATCGTGTTTCGGATGGGACGACAAACCGAGGTCCCGTTTGCACGTTAAAGATCCCATGTCAGGTGGAATTCGATATTGTTAACACTGCACCTTAGCGCCGCTATCCGGGCAAAATTTCCATCAGAGCACACTGTACGAAGTTTGTCCGTCTTCATTAGCTCAGTCGGAGCAGAACAGTAGGGCGTTAAAACCCATTACATTTCAATGCCATTACTCGAAGGACAGGAAAAGAATCGGACATTAAACTATAAAGAATAATACATCCAACCATACCACTGCCAATTAACAGACGAACGGACATTTTGCTACAAGTGTACTTTATTCAGATTAGAGAGGCTGCTTGGAAATTTACAATACAAAATGTAACATTTATAGAAATTATAATCAGAAGACGTGTGTGTGTGTCTATGGATTTTAAATCATCGTACTGAAAATATAGAGATACAAAATAAGACAAGTTGTAAATGGATGATTCCATCTTGCTTAAGTATGACAACAAGATGGCAACACTGAAAATGAGGGAGTGGGGTGGTGACTGGGCATTTACTAATTCCTTCATGTAACAAGGATACATGTCTGTTAAAGGTGAGTGGTATTCAAAGGTAAACTAAAAGTACTGATTGCCCTTGGTTGCAAGGGACGTAACTCTTAAGTGTAAAGTCTTCAATTGGTATTCAACGGAAAATGTAAGTGAGAAAAATCCACTTAAAGTTACGAAAACTTACCGATGCCCTCTCCACACACATTGTAATTGGCAGATGTATAATACTATAATATGAGAGGTAACATAAAGTTAAATGAGATAAAGTGGGATTATAATGACTTCTTCTAACAACAGTACACAATGTAGTAGCAGCCCCTCAGGACGATTTAAAAAAAAAATAATGGACAGTTTTTAATAATAGACAGTTAGGGGGTAATAGTGGAACGTTAGTGAACACGTCTTGTTAAGGTGTTTTAAAACGACTAGCTCATACAATTCACCATTATATTATAAAGACAAAGGACGACGTCATAACAATATTTTAATTTATCTTATAAATTACCTTATAGTTTATCACAGCTGGACACAGCATCTGTCACTGTTCGTACACGATACAAAATTAGATTCCCCCTTTTCACAGGTTACACGACAATTGCCGTCGAACGCATCGCAAACTGAAAAGGTTTAAGATATTTTGAGTTAAAAGGGAAGTTGGCCCAAAACATGTGAGCCTCGAAATATTTACGTTGGTGATTAGTTTAAAAGACTGCAGTTTTATATAAACTTGTTTCATATAACACAAGACACAAACTCGGTCTACGGGAATAGTGTTAACACTGTAAAAGGATTATCTATTAATTAATATAAAATTGAATGAAGTGAACGCTTACTTGGGTCGCCTTGTTCGGGTGTTGTTGATTGTGTTGTAGTAGACGTCGTTGGTGGTTTTATGGTAGACGTCGTTGGTGGTATTATGGTAGACGTCGTTAATGGTGATGTGTCAGGTGATTCTGAAATACAAGAGACGACCATTGGTAAAACAATTGATATTATCAAATGTGTATAACTTCTAATAATATGAAGAGCGAGAGAGTACCTTCCTTGTATATTTTTATTTCTAGCATTCGCTTGCGCATACGAGTCGTTAGTGGTATAGGTGTAACTGGTCAGAAATAAGACAACCCACAAGGTTAGGTTTGGGAAAAAGCAACAATGAAATTGATAAAGTAAGAAACCCCGCAAACCTGTTTTTTTTTTTACTTTTAGGTAAGTTATGTAACTCGCGTTACACATTGGCTAATCAGGACGCAGACTAGTAATTCTCTTCCCATTGACTTCAAAGTAAAATCAATAGCATTTCGTGGCGTACAATAATTTTGGGAGCTCAGGTTGTCAGAAGCAGGTGATAAAATTATTGAAGGAGGTTCACGATAATGACATTTTTATACTTCAGTGACATCATTTTCGCAGGCGATTTCCCAAATGCATGTCTCTTGATCTTCTGACCCTTCCGCCTCAAAACCATGAATATTCACCAAAACCTGTCAGAATATGTAAATTCAAACCCAAAATGTCATGGAAAGGGGGAAAGTGAATAAATAGACGGACTACAGTAGTAGTAGAGTAGAGAGGCAGGCAACCTACATAACAAAATCAAAATATTTTTAGAGTAGAGACATGCATCCACGCTAGATAGGTTAATTGGTTTTAGGGTGACAACTATGCCTAGGGTGGATGTAATAGTAAAGTCCGAGAGGTTGGTTCTTAAGCCCTTTTCTCCCAAATCTCCCAAAAATTCACATATTTAGTGGGATAGGGGTACTTACACAACCAACAGTGCTGTACCGATTATAGAAGAAAAATTCAATGCAACAGCTTCCACATGGAACAACTTGTTATATTTTTCCAAAAACACAAAGGTATAGCTGAAACATGTCCAAGCGCGGGCGCGTGGGTTGCAGAAGATCTGTCTAGACCCACAGTGAACCTTTTCCCAAACTCAAGTGAACACCTGGGAGAGGATATTTCATATAGTCGGTTGGGAATAGAATAAAGTGTTCTCAGACCCTTCCCTACATAATTAACCAGTTTTATGTTTGGGAGTTCGGTTTTAAGGACGATTGGGTGATTTAGGGAGAGAGAGAGGGGGTGGGGGAGGGGGTGGTAACGTCCACTTGACACACACTAGGTCATTTTGGGGCTCACATATGGTTCAATTTTATTTCAATAATTCGCTTGTGCGTTTGGGTTTGTAGCAGTGGGAGGAAACCGGAGGACCCACGAGGTTGGACAGGCGACCCTATTCCTTGTCATGTGCAACCAGGGCAGGGTGATTTAGGAACGTAGATTACAAAAGCTGACCGTAGATAACAACCGTTAGAAATAATTAACTAGAACTACGATGCAGTAATGACGGGTTTTACCGGTGCCAAGTTATCCTTGAACTTATGTCATTTCCGCTGTCATGTTACCCTTGAACTTATGTCACTTCCGGTACCAATGAAACCGTTAAACAGACTTCCACATTAGCATTGCACACATGTTATAAAATGGACGCAGATGGGAAATTAAAATGCGAAAACAAACCCTTAAAAGTGACCCTGGCAAAATTGGTTATTTCACAGTAACAGATGACGTTAGAAGCAATTTTCTGTTATTTATAGCACCGTATTAAATCATTAAATATCATAATTGTAAAGGAATATTGAATAACATTCATTTGAAAAAATATATTTATTTTGAAGGCTAAAAATACAGTTTTTTGTCAAAATGTTGTCATTTCCAGTAAAAATAAATTTTTGAAATTGTTTTTATGAAATCACAAATGGCATTAGGCACCAACTGGTGAATTAAATATGATACTTTTAAACACATAACAAATAGGACTCATTTGGAAAAAAAATATATGTTTTGAAGGTTAACAATACAGTTTTGGACAAAATGGCGTCACTTCCAGTGTCAATTTTAAATTCTGCTCTAATTGATATATTGCACATTTGCTTTATGCATCAGTTTTGGACAAAATGGCGTTACTTCCAGTGTCAATTTTCAATTCTGCTCTAATTTATATATTGCACATTTCCTTTATGCATCAAATGGTGTTACTTTAATGAAAATCCAATAATAATTGACTCTTTTACAGACAAAATAACGTGAAAACTGACTCCTGCAAAATTGCCCATTTCTCGGCTACTACTCATATTACAAACTAATTTCGGCATAGATTGTCTTTATATAGATACATGCTACAAGTATTTGAACATTACATAGAAATATTCTAAAATATGCAAAGCCTAAATGGGTTTAAATTGGTTAATTTTACACCAATTTTCACCTGTAAATCGAAATGGCGCAAACACAAAACCAAAATTTAAAAAAAATTCCGACCGGTCAAAAATTGTAAATTTTTGCAAAATTACGTCAATTCCGGTGCCGTCAGAAAACTTTAACAGTAACAAAGAAGTTAAGGATTTGCACCTTGAAAAATATGAACATTGTATTATACAAATCGGGCATTAAACAATTAACCCAGAACCGATAAACTGGAATTAAAAAGGCAAATGTTTTTTGAAAAATGATCCTGACAATATTGGTTATTTCTCGACATGGAAAGTTGCTACAAGCCATTTTTGACAACTTTATGACCGTATTGATCCCACCTATATGGCCATTGAAATCAAATATCGTAATTTGATACGAATAATGAATACCACTCACTTCAAAAAAATATTTGTTTTGAAGGCTAAAAATACAGTTTTGGGTAAAATGACATTACTTCCGGTGAGAATGAAAATGTTAAAATAGTTTTATGAAATCAGAAATGGCATAAGGCATCACACGGTGAATTTTTTTTTATGAAAATCGAATAATAATTGACACTCTTATAGACCAAAAACCTTGAAGAGTGACTAGTAGAAAATCGCCTATTTCTCTGCAACCTTACAGGTTATAACTCATTTTGTGGTATTTGTATGGTTGTATGGGTTTAATCTATTTGTTGATTGGAATTAAATATCATACTTTTTAACAAATAACATATACCACTCATTCAGTTTTTGTCCAAATGACGTCACTTCCGATGACAGTGAAAGTGTTAACACGGTTTGACTTAGTAAAACGTAGCATTAGGCATCAAATAGTGAAAGAAAATTGAAAATTGAATAACAATTGAATCTTTTACAGGCAAAATAATGCGAAATGTGACTCCTACAAAATTGCTTATTTTTCGGCAACTGCTAATATTACAAACTAATTTTGACATACATTCTCTTGTATGGGTTATTGCATTGAGGTTATGAAAGTTACGAAGACATATTTTGAAATATGAAGACGGTGGGTGGGTTGTAAATAGCTTAATTTTACAACTTTTTATCGAAATAGCCCGAAAACGAAATCGAAATTAAAAAAAAAGAGCCCGAAGTTTTGTGCGCCTTTACAGGGCACACCCTTTCAGTTATATCAGATTTGAAAAAAAATGATATTTGCTTTCAAAAAGTGTTACCGAACTGTCAAAATCTGACAAAATTGTAGATTTTGCTGAATTTACATCACTTCCGGTGCCGACAGGAAACTTTACCGATAACAACAAAAAATGACTTTTTGGATCACGCAGCATATGAACTTTGTTTTATACAAATCGAATAATAAATAATTAATCTAGGACTGAAAAACTGAATTAGCCAATGGCGGCCAAGGAAAATTACGGAGACAAACAGCGGCTGCCAGACAGGATAAGCCCACATTTTCGAGAAAGGGCCATAATTGAGGAAATTACAATTCGATATGCGCAAATATCGACAGGGACCGAGATCCTTGGGTTATAAACTTACATTTCAAGTTTCAAGAAAATCGGATAAAAATTGTGACCTCTATAGGGTCCACAACCTTGATATACCATATTTTTTCGCTATTTAAGAACGAGGGGCGGCCATTTTGTCTGTCAGTTTTGGGACGATTTTCACGAAATAAGGGTGTAACGGTGATATACTAAAACGTATTTTTTTAAATCGGTTAAAACTTATGACCTCTATAGGGTCCACAAGCTAAAAAATGCGATTTTTCCTACAATCAAGGGCCATAATTCAGGAAATTACAATTCGATATGCACAAACATTTCAAGTTTCAACAAAATCAGATTAAAAATTGTGACCTCTATAAGGTCCACAACCTTGTTATACCATATTTTTACGCTATTTGAGAACGAACGGCGGCCATTTTGTCTGTCAATTTTGGGCCGATTTTCACGAAATTCGAACGCAGCTGTCTTTAGGGTGTAACGGTGGTATAATAATACGATTTTTTAAATCGGATAAAAATTATGACCTCTATAGGGTCCACAAGCTAAAAACGCGATTTTTCGTACAATCAGGGGTCATAATTCAGGAAGTTACGATCCGATATGAGTGGATATTGAAAGGAACCGAGATCTTTGGGTTATAAACTTACATTTCAAGTTTCATCAAAATCAGAAGGGTCCACAAGCTAAAAACTCGATTTTTCGTACAATCAGGGGCCATAATTCAGGACGTTACAATCCGATATGCGCGAATATCGAAAGGAACCAAGATCTTTGGGTTATAAACTTACATTTCAAGTTTTAACAAAATCGGATAAAAATTGTGACCTCTATAGGGTCCACAACCGTGATAAACCATATTTTTACGCTATTTGAGAACATACGGCGGCCATTTTGTCTGTCAATTTTGGGCCGATTTTCACGAAATTCGAACTCAGTCGACCTTAGGGTGTAACGGTGATATAATAATACCCTTTTTTAAAATTGGATAAAAATTATGACCTCTTTAGGGTCCACAAGCTAAAAACGCGATTTTTCGTACAATCAGGGGCCATAATTCAGGAAGTCACGGTCCGAGATGCGCGAATATCAAAAGGGACCGAGCACTTTGGGTTATAAACTTACATTTCAAGTTTCAACAAAATCGGATAAAAATTGTGACCTCTATAGGGTCCACAACCTTGATATACCATATTTTTACGCTATTTG